GTACTTCCACGTCTGCCAGCTTTCTACAGGCTAGGAAAGATCAATGAATCAAAGTTATTTTGTCCTAACAGAATTCTCACCACTTCTGGGATGCCAAGCACCTTATATGGTTTGTATTAGCATGACTGGATTTCTGTCAGTGAAATAAGATGCCACCAATTTATAGCTCTGGCCTCCCAGGCAGAGCTCCTGCACAATGCAGCAGTTGTGTGAGAATGGCTCTGTGCCACCCACATGACTGACCATGTTATGATCTTAACTCATTTCACTCACAGGCACTGCAGAAACAGCTCCAGCCTCTCTTCTCTCCCCTAAATATACCACATTATGATCCTGAACACAGGGAAAGCATTATATAAGCGAAGAACATTTCAGTCAACTTGCTGAGACAAGGAAAACCAACAAAGAAACTTTCCATATGCTGTGCAGGCAAGATATTTTATTTTAAAAAAGCGATACCTACAGCAAGAAAGAAAGGAAAGTTGACTCTACAGTGAAAAATCTGGGGAAACACACCATAAATCTTTCTGCTCCAGCCACATTCTGTATTTTTTACAGAATTACTGAATTATTAGATAATTCAGTGACAAGTAAAACACACTTGCAGAAACATTGTTAAGTCTTAAATAGGACTGAAAGTGCCTCACCCACTTTTCTTCTCCTATGGCCTATGTGACCTCCCTCTTGACTTTTTCACTATTCTGCAGGCCACTCAATCATCCTGTGACATTGTATGCACACATTACAGGTCTATCTGACCAAATGAAGAACAGAAACAATGACAGGGCTCTTCTAATTAACAATTAACAGATATTGCAGTGTTGTATTTTGTAGCTAACTGACTCCATTTTATTTAAATTGATGCCTTAAGCCCCAAATGGTTTTTTATTTTTCTAATATTTGTAAGCCTTTTAAGTTTTATAAGTAGATTTTAAAAGCAGCAACCCTCACTCCCTTGTCCCTTTCCCTGTAGCACCCATAGTTTACACATTCCTTAACCCTCTTACCCCATTCTATGTGCCCCGTATCACTCCTACCCCCGAATCCAGTAGAAATGTTTAGTCTTTTGTCAAGGCAAGGCCTAGATTGTTTTCAGAACAGCATATCAGGGCCTGAACAACAAAATGAAGTCAAGAACTGGGTAACTATATACCCTTTGTGCTCTGAAGATGGTGAAGATGATGAAGTAGGTGGTCCCAAAATACACCCCAGACCCATTTCTCAGGGGTGGACCCGGGGCGGTCCAGAGTAAAGGCCACAGGGTGGACACATCTGGGATTGGATGGAGGGTTTTATAAAATGTAGCATCTGGGGCACAGCGGGTGTGCACGCTGCGTAACATCTTTTGCCTTGGCATAATAAACCCTTTCTTATCTCACCCCTAATTAACTGCTCCGGAGATTTTTTTGAAGCACCTACATCCCACGGCATCAAAATGAAAGTCCTCAATAGCTTAGTCAAATCAGAAGAAACGTCATCAAGGTTAGGCAGATTTAAACAAATACTAGCAACCCAAAACTTTCCAAGTGTCCACATTCTGCCAGACCCTGGATATTGAATAAATGAAATAGTTGTATAGAACAGCCACCCTGGACAGAAACAAAACAAAAATAACCCCAGACCCACCTTCAATTCTGTTATGCTACTGTGCTATATGATGGCAATTGCAGCTGCTGCTTTACAACATGTCTCATTTCTCCTCAGACAGCTGAACTTTCAGCTGGACTTTGTCATGTTCAAACTGCAGCCAGCTTCTATAATGCTTCTCTTGGATGCAGGATGTGGTACATCATGGAGATGTCTGTAGAGTCTGTCTGTGAGCTATTTTGTTATGTAGTGGGAAGCAGCATAGTAAGAAATTAGGGAACAGGAAGGAAAAACTGAGGACAAACTCCATATAATTGCCTCCCACTTGTCTGACAAGGTCTGAGCCACAATGGATTCCAGGCACAGAAAGAAGATGGAAAAATGGCTTTAAACTTTGAAACATTCATTGCTTTCAAAACACTGTTCAAAGATATCTTGGATATGCTCAATTCAAATAACTCACATCAGTGAATTAAACCTCTGGAAAACAAACTTTTGTAGTTTAGTGTTTTCTCAGATGTTCCAAGGTTTGAAGTGCAAATGGAAAATGAAATCATGATTTGTTATAGAAGTGGACTGCAAAAAGCATGAGAAAGTACAAATTCTGCAGTTTGGCAGATGCCCTGCAAACCTCTCTTGGCATCCAAGCCTGGGGCAGACCAGTCTGAAACGAGATTTAAGCCATCAGCACTTGTGGCTCTTGTGGCTCAGAAGTTATGCACTGTGAATCAGAAATACCTTACTGAACATTTTGGTTTGGTTTGATTTAAGGTTTTTTTTGTTAGCTGAAGCATTTATATCAGTGTCTGCCTTAGAAGGGAGAGGTTGCCCACCTGCTCTGATACTACATATCTGCAGTGAGACCCAATTTGAGAGAGGACAGGAAGCTGAGCTGCTGAGAAGACCCCACGCAGGACCAGCTTGAGCACTCCTTGAAGAGATAAACCCTTAACGTTCCAGGCAAAGGCTGAGTCACACCTCTCTCTACTCCTGACTGTCACAAAGAAATCAAGACAAGTTAGACAACCTGCTGCAAACCCTCTTCTTCTTTTTTAAGCAAGATGTGCCCTTACACTGTTCAGTGGTCAGGAGTACCAAACAGTGCTGCTGGCAAATCAGTGGCTGAGCACAGACTCACATCCCTCTGTGAGTGCAGACATCACCAGGGGTGCAACACTTTACAACAACAAGCATGCTCCACTTTAAAGTAATAAATGGATGCTTCAGCAATACAGATAGAAAAACTTTAAGAAATATGAGCCAGGACTTCCCATGCTGTACTTGTGCAGGACAGAAGGAACCCCAGTAACAAGCTGCCAACTCCTAAGCAGGCAGACAAAATTTTATGTGCAAATTTTAAGACCAAACTTTGTTTAAAATACAAAAATGGACAGAACGCAGTTGACAATCTCACTTACAAAAATCCTGGAATAAACCCTCTGACACTGACAGTTTTCTTATTTCTATTGGCCTGACTGTAATTTTTTTTATAGTTTTATTTTTAATGATCCATTTCTGATGTTTAGTTACTGAGAACACTTGAACTGCAGTAACACAAAAGGATGACTGTGAGTGATTTGTGTCTTCACAAATTAAATTTAGACAAGAACAGGCTTGGACTGCACTTCTTTGTCCCTGGGTAGTGACACCAATAATCCCCTGTGCACACACTGGAGAATGAGGCAGGAACAGTCCCTTCCTCAGGTATGTGTGGTCATGGGAGCTAACATTCCCTCTAAAGGACTGTAGCTGTCTAGTGTCTGATGACTGGTAAAATGCTAATGGTAATGTTATCTCAGTTCTACTTCTAAGTAAGTTGTCTGCTAAGCCCTTGGTTTCACCTTGTAAAATAAAATGGAGATTATGTTCATTTCACAGAGGCAAAAATTTTGTGTGTTTGTTTGGGTTTTTTTAAACAAAAAATTCTGTCAGACTGCTTGTGTACTTTTACATGACACTGCAATGAAAAAAGAAAGCATGAAAGTGGAGAGAAAGGAAAAATCTGAGAAACTGAAGCTTGTGGCCTGGTGCTTACAATTCACAGGCATGAAGCAGCAACACCACAGCTATTGCTTTGATCTATCTCCCTATTAATTCCTCTTCCCACAATAGAACCACTGACATCTCACTGGTATTCAGATGTGATTAAAATATATTCTAATACCTATAAATAGAATTGTTGGTTCAAGCACTAATTAAAACCAAATATAGCATTTGGAAAACTGTATCAACAAAAAAGTAAAAGGGTGCAGTAAACAGCAGCAGTCGAAATGTTGCCCCTTTTTTCTTTTTTTCTCTGAGAAAAAGATAGACTTCTGTTCTATAGATCTTTATGTTAATGTTTGGATTTCCAAGTGTTTACAAGCATCCACCCAGCAACTTCAGCATAAGAGTAACAAGACAGACTATGCTCTCTCCTTCAATTCTGATTATTGCCATAAAGTTCTAATGATAACAGGGTAAGTCCTGCACACTGACTTTCTCCAGCCTTCATGGTAGTTCTTAATTAAATGTTAAGTTTACCTCGTTCCCACATTAGTTTGATCATATGCCACTTCACAACTAACCCTTGTTTCTATATACATGTATCCACACATCCTTTATTTTCCTGACTGATTCTACCTTCTTACCCTCTCTCCTGCATTACTATCTATTTGGAGCAAAGGCTTATTGCAAGGCAAGGGGACTTTACAGTTTTGCTGCCTTAACTGTCAAAACTCTCACAGCTTGAGAAAACCATGGGACTTCACAAAATAGCCAGCTCTGCATGTAGTGGTAAATATTTACTGGCTTGTCCCCCAAAGATACAGAGCACTTTGGAGAAGGGATGGAGCCTTTACAATATCATATAAAGCAGTGTTTTCCTCAGGGAATGTTCATATCACTGGCACTTACTAGAGACAACTGTAAAGAACTGACTCTCCCTTAAACTCAAGCCCCAAACCAAAGCACACCACAGTCTCTCTGGAGAGCTGAGTGAGACTTCTGAGTGCACAAAGAGGGATAATATGAGCTGAAAATGGGGAATAATAATTTTAGAACGTGACAGACACATTTGGAGACAACATCACAACTAAACCAGACGGGGCTCTACTATACAGTCAGCATGCTACATGAAAAATTGAACACTTGAGCAAATGTGCTGCCTGAGGTGCCTGTACAACAGTTTGGACACCCAGGCTGGCCTCTGCTGCCTTGGTGTACAAACACACCTGAGCCTACACAAAACATACAGACACACTAAGTCGTTAAGGCACGTGAAGATGCAACAATAGCGGAGTTCAGATCATCCAGTTTCAGATTTAGACATGTGAAAAGAGAACTTGGGTAAGCCTGGTTCCTGGTGAACACTGTCACCCTCAGGCAATAACACAATGGGGTGTGTTGGGCAGATTTTTTCTGAAGGGACTTACCTCAGCATCCTGCTCCCGGAGCTGGTACGTTCTCTCCAAGCGCTGCAGTGTTCTAGGACACAATGTCTTCTCCTCCAATAGAGACTCCAGAAGTAAGACCAGCTGGTCAGGGAGAAGCTAAGAGAAAAATAAATGCCATGTGTGAATGAAGATCTCTGCTGACTGAGCAATTAAATGGAAACAAACCACAGAGGACAGGATTGTGATAACGAGTACTTCCAACATGTGCTCGAAATACAACATGGACTTCTAGCTGGTTTCTGGAAAACCTCAGGGCTTATGTGTCTGTATTCTGAAAGATTGTGCTGGAGTACAATTAAGACTTGTTTGTCATGGTTTTCGTTACTGTGGTTAGGTCAGATTTAAAATGTGTTTATTGAAACATAATCATAGATTAATAAGTAAGATTTGTATTGAATAAATAAACTAAGTAATTCCATTTTGTTTGGGCTTGGAAGAGATAAAAAGATTTTTTTTTTTAAATTGTGCATTTACAGTGCACAATTTCAGGAATCAACTAGGTTGTCATGGGGGGAAACAGTTTTCCCCCTGTAGTTATAAAATGGTAAAACCCCAGGGGGTGGTAACCCTTGAAGTTTTGAAGTTTTACCCAATGAACGCTTCTGCAAAATATAAACATATCACAACCAGAATGGAAGAAAAAGTTGTTGTAGTTTTGGTAGAAGAAGGTAGCCATGTTCTGAGGCCATGAGGAAGGGGGCTCAGAGCCCCTTGGAGCCTTTGGAGTCCCCCAGCCCCCGGCTGGGGGGAGCTGCAGGGACTTGGAACAGTGTAATGCTGGGCTAAGTGCCTGTAGCTGAAAGCTAAAGGACTTTTCTCCACCGTGAGTGAGCAGAGACAGAGCAGCAGCAGAAGCAGCATCCAGAGATTGTGGCTAAGAGCCAACAGATAAGAACTGAAGAAGCGGCAAGGAAGGCATGCAGCACCACAGAGAGAACTCCTGGAAGGAGAGCCGAGAGAGAGATAGCAGCAGAGAGACAGAGTTTGGGGTAAGAACTGAACTAAAAGACCCCTCCTAGAAAGGAGGAAGATGATGGACTCTTACTTGAAAAAGCCTTGGAGTGCTACAGCACTTGCAGAAAGGAGCTGAAGAGTTCCGAGAGGAATGCGGAGAGGGTGACCTTGGCCACCCCCCCTTGCCACTGCTGCCAAGGTGGCAGCCTGAGGCAGAGCACAGGAGCTCTGCAAAGGGGAATTTGAATCCCCTGAAGATAAGGACTGTTTCGAAGACCCCGGAGCTTTGTGATATGACATGGTGATAGCGCCCCTTTGTCCTGGGAAACACAGCCCATGGAAGACCCCTCGCTTGAAAGACGATGGGGCCAAGGGGGCTTGGATACCCCCTCGTGTGTGCTGGCAGAGATCCAGTCACAGCTGCTGCATGCATGAGAAGAGGATGGATGACTGCTGCCCTAGAGAAACTGTTGCTCTGAGAGTGGAAAGGATCTTTCCTTCTTCCCTCCTGGACTTGTATTTGGAGGAGAGAAGAGATCTGATCCATTGTAAATACTTAGGTCATGGTAGAGATAATTAAGATTGTATACAGTGTATTGTAGTATTTATTTGTACAGTCATTGTAATATATTCCATTTCCCCCCATTTTGAGTCTGGTGTGTTTGTCTGGAAAAAAACATCTCTCATTGAGTTGAGATGTGGGAGGGGGGGTTTGGACTAGGAAACTGGATTTTGGGAATCTCAAACCATGACACAGGTACATGAATGTAAAATTTTCTAGAGTGGCATTTTTATCTCATATATTAGCATTTGCAGGATACATTTACAGCAAACAAAGAAACACAGCGCAAATAAGTGACCCAGAAAACAAGTGTTGTAATGGCACATTTTGAGGCATATTTGTGGGCAATGAGTCCCAAGTCATTCATCATTACATGGTAAAGATACATGAACATTGTGTTTGTGGCACACATAGAATAATATCTATCTATAGGTGGATATATATACATATATATACACAATAGTTAGTTGCCTGAACCTATGTTTTTCAACTTGAACCTAATGTAACCTAAAAAGAAAAAGCATAAGAAGTCTGTTGTAGCAAGTGCTTAAGTGCCTTGTTTAATAGGCTTATTGGATGAACAAATAAATAATTCAAACAGAGCTCAGAGAGAAATTACACCAGCTGCCAAGAAAAAAATCTACTGGAAATTCAGGATTCAAGGTGATCAGTCAGAAGTTGTTTATATGCCCCATAACTTTCCCCATTATTCATCATTACAGGGTACCAAGAGAGAAAGGGGAAAGGAAGGAAGGATGTCAGTTTAAGTTTTTGCAAACAAAAAGAAACCAACACTTCACTTCTAATGTTCTGAAGACAGACTAATGAAAAAAGACATCCTGTTACTCTGACACCACCTCCAGCTTTTGCCACATCTGGATTTTCTGCTCCCACCTTGCTGCCTGCCCATGTTCCCAGCCCTGCTGAGCAGGGATGAATTTGCCCACAGGAAATGCCTGACATCCCACAGCCAGGGCTGTTCATGTGGACTGAGCAAGTCTGGATCCCTGATCTCTGACAGCAAGTCCATGAAGATACCACAGATCTTCTGGTAAGTCTTGATCTGTAAAGTATTGCCATTAACAACCAACACAGCAACATGACATTTTCTTCCCTTTGAGACTGATGTAATTTAGCATTAGTACCTAAATCACAACAAAGAGAAAAAGGAGATTTTAAGGCTCTGCCTCACATTTTGATTTCCATTTTTTTATTATTTAAGTTAGTTGTATTCTTGAAGACTAAAAAAACCTCACATCTTACTGGCTCCTACTGGAACATCTTCTAAGTGATACTGAAGCCTGCCAAGAATATGGCACATTAAAAATGGTCAGACACTTAAAAATATTGATTATTTCAATTTCAGGACAACTACTAAAATGACAGCTTGGACGTTTATTACATAGGTCAAGAGCAGCTGCCTGGGGGTTAGTGAAACAGGCTAAAAAATATAAAAGGGAAAGCTTCTGGGAAGTGGTTCTGCTTGGAAACTGAATTAATTCTGAACACTAATAAAATCTAAAATGTTGCAGAACGCTGCACACAAAAACGTAACTTTTGATTTAGAAAGCTTTGCCTGCTAACTACAAAGACAGCAGAACAGCATTTAATTTAACTATAGAACAGCTGCTCAAATACATAGGTACAGACCAGCTGAGGGTTACTATTTTACAATATATTTCCAGTGTAATAGCTATACAGATTCAGCCACAGAAAGATATTGTTTAGGAAAACATTACAGAATCTCACTGAAGCCAACAAAAGCAGCAGCAGAGCAGCAGCCATGCCCTTAATTTACCTCTGCCTAGTGCTGCATCATGGCTAAAGACTTTCCAGAATTATCGGATAAACACTTATCAGTTCAGATTTGGGACTGCAGAGTAAAAAAACCAATCAATCAAACAAAACAAACAAAACCCACCACCAACAATAATAAAACCAAAACCAAACCAAACAAGCAAAAAAACCCCATAAAACCCAACTCAAACCTGCCTGAGCTCAAGAAGCGTTTGGCCAACACTCTCAGGCACACAAGGGGGATCTTTGGGGTGCCCTGTCAGGGCCAGGAGTTGCACTCAGTGATCCTGAGGGTCCTCTCCAGCTGAGCATCCTCTATGATTCTGTGATATGAGAACGTGGCTTCTGCTATTTACCCCCGTTCTAGTTGCTCAAGATTACACTGTACAGGCCAGTTTCCAGCTCGAGGACTAATGACAGTCCAGGGCAGGAGCACAAACCCCAGCAGAGGGTGGGGGCACGGGCAGAGGAACTGCGGGCTCCTCACGGCACTGGCACTAGTGGGCGCAGCTCGTTTGTTCTCCGGCTGTTTCCAACACAAGGAAAAGTAGGAACATTCTCTTCTACGTCTTACCCCTTCCTTTCACTAAAAGAGACTCCATCAAAGAGAAAAACCCATCTTAAGCAAAGACACAGAAAACTTGGTCGAAGTTTCACGACAGAGGCTGCTACAAAAATCACCCAGGGATGTAGAAATCCTCTTTTCCTCAAACAAAGCAATACGAATATCACTATCTCCAAAGCAGCTTTTTAATGGTTATAAATAAGCTTAAAAAAATCGCACTTGAATTTTCTGCCAAAACCCCCACTCTTCTTATTTTTTGTTTTCCCCACTACCATCTTATTTGTCCTGCCCATCTGTTACTTCTCGTCTTCATACCAGGAGAATTGTTTGGGGTCAATTTTCCATTTGTTTGCCTTATGCTTTAATACAAAGGGGCCCATGCCATCAAAACATAAATGCTGTAGAGAACAGAACAAAAATTTATTTTCAAGTATCGTGAAGCCATTTTCCTTTACAACTCATATTCTGTGAATGCACAGTGAAATATCTAACACACATAAAAAAGCACACAACACAGCTACAGCAAGTTACAGCAGCATAAACTTCACTTTATCAATGTGTTTCTGTGTTAAAGGCATTCAGAAAACAACCATAACACCCTAAACACAGAATTCCAGTGTTCCTCTTAAAGTAAGTTTAAAAAAATCCCCATGCTCTGAACTGCATTGGAGAGTGCTCAATCAAAATGTTCAAATATACACAATTATTAAAGCAGATCACTTCAATCAGGAAATGTGGCCAGGATCAAAAAATATTTTCATTACGTCGACGATTGCTGCAACAGGATCTATTTATATTGCTAAGTAGATAGTTCCTGTCCCAACCTATGGCTGCTGCATGGAAATCATAAACTTTTCCCAGGACTGCCCCTCCCCCAGTTGTGAGCACTGACACTACAAAGATAAAATAAATTAATAAGCTGCGACCAAGCACAGCAGAGGTTTTCTGTCATGTCCCATGTAATCAAACATTTTCCCCACTATAAAGCTGTATCCCAGCATTGTACACATTATCCTGCCCTTAAGACTATAAAACCTCTGCTTGCAACCTTTTGAAAGAGTTCACTTTGTCCTGCCACTAAACAGCCACTTGTCCCCTGCTCCCCCTGTTACCTGACATGGTTCTTTTAAAGTGTGAATAACACAGCTGTTACCCTTAAAACAAACTGCAGATTATATAATTTATATCAGGGAATATCAAAACTAGGTCTTGTATTTG